ACAATGGCCTTAGAGGGTCCCACGCTGGCCTTAGAGGGCTGAGCACTGGCTCCTTAGGGCTCTACGCCAGCGTCAAAGGGTCCCACGCTCAAGTCTAAGCTTTTTTATGGCCGCCAAAGCGACCTCTGAGGGCTCCACGCTAGCCTCTGGGGGCTCAGCCTTGGCCTCTAAGGGCCCTACGCTGGCCTATGAGGGCCATCAAATGGCATTTTAAGATAGTTTGACGCAGTTTGACCCTGAAAGTTACTGGTGGCTCTTCATAGGCCGGCAAGGGACCCTCAGAGGCCGGGAGGCCGGAGGCCCTCAGAGTCGCTGGTAAGTGGTCGTCAGGTGCGCTGGCCTAGGGCCCTCGGAGGCGCCAGAGGCGCCTCAGAGCCACCGAAGTAGGCCCTTAAGAGGCACTGGTGTGGGACCCTTAGAGGTGGCAGTGAAGGCCATCAGAAACTGGTGTGGACCGTGGGGCCATAACAAACGGGTATGGGGCCCTTACAGCTGATCCCTGATTGGCCGGCAACGGCCCTCAGAGGCCGGCAACGTCCCTCAGAACCCGGCGTGGGGCCCTTCTGGAGATAAGTGTGACTACACAAGATACCATGGGGTGTTCTCACAAGCCCTGTGGTGTCCTTTCCAGTTGAAGCGTGGCCAGCGCGAACCCTCTGCTGCCAATTGGCACCGCAGGGTCCCTCGGGCCCGAGGGGACCCTAAACCTTATAACGGACATGTGCCCCTCACCCCTGGCTATGCCGTTGAATCCAAGTGATCAGGGGCTGTTCAGGTGATCAGGGGCCTCTCAGGTGACCAGGGGCCTTTCAATTGACCAGGGGCCCACCAGGTGACCAGGGGACCTTCTGATAACCGGGGGCCGGTTATACCAGGGGCTCCACAGGTACCTAAATGCCTTCATGTGACTGCAGGGGCCCTTCATATAACCAGGTAATCCCCGGGTAAACATGGCCCCTTGGGCGACCAGGGTTTCTTCAGGACACTGGCCAGGGCCCACCCAAGGGATCAGAGACCCCTCAGGTAGCTGGGGGTCCCTTAGATAACCAGGGGCCCCTCAGGTAACCAAGGGCCCCTCAGATAACCAGGGGTCTCAGGTAATTACGGGCCCCTTAGGTAATCAGGGGGCCCTCAGATAACCAGGGGCCCCTTGGGTAACGCAGGGGCCCCTCAGATAGCCAGGGCCCCTCAGGTAACCAGGACTCCTTCAGATAACCACGGGCCCCTCAGGTAACCAGGGCCCCCTCAGATAACCAGGGGCCCCTCAGACAACCAGGGGCCTGTCAGATAACCAGGGGCCCCTTAGGTAGCCAAGGGCCCCTCAGATAACCAGGGGCCCCTCAAGTGACCAGGGGCCCCTCGGAGCCCCCGTGGCCCCCCTTGGGTACGTCACTGCACTCAAGTGACCCTAAGGGCCCACTTACATGTTTGATGCCAAAGGGGGAGGCCATGGCCTCTTGGCCTCCCCCCTGGATACGCCACTGTGTCAAAAACTCAGACAAGAAAAAACGTGGGGTAAGACGGACCACCCAGCAGTGTCTGCTATCCGTTCATGTGTGTTACACTTCTGCTCTGTACTCTTGTAAGAAAAAGTAACCAGAATGGTAAAATAACAAAATGAGCCTTTATTCTTTACTCATGTGTGATGGAAGTGCAGCTAAAAGCGGGGAACATGCGTGTTGATTGTTGTTTGGCATGAATCCATGCTAACTGAGCACTTGCATGCATGGCTCACATGCAACAAAGACTCCTTCCTGAAAAATTAGCTTACTTAAACTTGTGTCAATGTTTTGGAAAATAACTTTCCATATGCAGGGTGCAATGGACCACCACAGGGTAAGATGGACCACAGTGGTTCGTTTTGCCCCAAATCTAAATTCTGTCATTATCATGACGTATGTATATGTCAAATAGCCCAACATTGCAAAACCTTGCCTTTCCTAAAGTGTGACTATAACTAAGTTTATAACTTTGTTCTTCACAGTTAAGTGCAAAATAGAAACTAATCATGCAAGAAAGGCGCCGTAATTAAATCACCCGTAGACCTCTTATATTAGATCGGTTTGACGAAAAACAACATCTTTCTCAAAAGGTAACTCAAATGCTATGCATCCTAGCAGCATGAGCTCAAGGTGGCCATTGTTACGAAGGAAAACAAACATAGTGAGTGCATAAAGCAGTAGATACCAGCAGCGGTTCAGCCGGGAGGGCTGGTGGTCCGTCTTGCCCCGCTGGGCCGTCTTACCCTGCACCTTCCCCTACGCCTAATCGCGATTCCGGCCAAACATGGTCTCGGAAAGTAAGTCTCAGACAGGTCAAAGGTCATTTGGGTCAGGGTCATGCAATTTTCAGGGTAGGTGTAACATTGATCAATGCGAGGGTACTGAAAGTTTTGTCGCGATCGGCCGCTTTTTACGTGAGTTATTCGCAAACACCTTAGGGAGGGGGTGGGGGGTGCATCAGATCAACTCCTCCTCCCCCCCCCCCCTGGGCCGGCGAGGGTTAAGTGCATCAAGACATCTTTTGCGAGAAGATGTAGCTTATAGAATGTATAGTAAGCTCTTTTGTTCTCGCAGCTCGCATCCTATCCCTGATTTTCCCTAAGGGTCACCAAAGGTCAAGTCAACGCGGTCACGTGATCTCACCATCACAAGTCAAAGTAAAATATAAAAAAACTGTTGTTTAACCCGCGCCCCGTTGGGCTCTGCCGAGCAACGCGCCCGGCAGGCGTCTTCCTGTACGCCGATGACACCGCAACACTGTGTTCCGGCGGTACGATAGCGGAAGCCAGGGACCGGGCTCAACAAGCGGCGGATGCCATAGCGAAATGGGCCCGCGACTGGAAGATGCGGCTGGCAGGAAGCAAAACGCAAGTTTTAGCCCTGTCGCAGCACTACGTCGACGCCCGGGACCTGTACATCCACGTAGACGGGGCACGAGTGGACGCTGGGAGACACCTTCACCTTCTCGGCGTAACCCTGGACCGGCAACTTCACATGGGCGCACTGGCGGATCCAGGGTTTCAGCGCGGGGGGGGCATACCATGTCACGGAGCCAAACCTAGGGTACCCCCAAATCCTGTTTTCTCATCGGATTTAGGCCACTTATTTTTCGTCATAGCCCTGACACGAGTTTTTTTTCTATAAAAAAAACACACAAATGGTAGGACACCGGACCCCCATTGGCAGATCCAGGAGGAGGAGGAAGCTTTTGGGACAAATACCCGGGCAGCGCCAGAAATCGACGAAAATTGGTGGGACCGGTGGGGCCCTCAGAATGACTGGTGTATAGAGCCGACCCAGGGCCGCCGGTGTGGAACCTTAAGAGGTACTGGCGTGGGACCATCAAAGGTATCGGTGTGGGTTCCCCAGAGGCAGTGGTGTGGGGCCCTCAGAGGCACTGGTGCAGGAACCACAAAGGAGCCGGTGTGGGCCCTCTAAGCTGCTGGTGTGAGGCCCTCACATGGACGCCGTTGTGGTGCCTCAGACACTGGTGTGGCGCTAAGCCCACACCATTCACAGATGGCTGTGTGTGGGGCCCTTGGAGTTGTTGTTGCGAAATGCGAATGCTTAATAACCCAGTAGGACCTCTCAGAGACCGACAAAGGGCCCTCAGAGGCCGGTAACCTTCGCCGGTAACCTTCACAGGCCGGCAAGTGAGGGCCGGCAGTATATCTTCAGGAGCCCTGTGGAGTCCAGTTAGAGATCGGCATGGTACTCTCAGACGCCGGTGGGGCCCTCAGAGTCACCGGTGTAGGACCTACAGAGTTACCGGTGGCTGGCTGCCAGAGGCACTGGTGTGGGACCCTCAGAGTCGCCGATGTGGGGCCGACACTGGTGTCTCAGAGGTGGCGGTGTATGGCCCTCAGACGTGTCTGTGTGGTGCCCTCACAGTCGCCGGTGAAGACTTTCAAAGGCATCGTTGTGGGAGTCCTCACTCCTCAGAGACACATGCATGGGGGCAAGGGGTCTTCAAGAGACCAGCAAGGGCCAGCAGAGGCCTTCAGGAGCCGGGATCCTGGAGACCGGCGTGGTACTCTCAGGAGTCACTGGGAGCCCTCAGAGTCACCAGTGTGGGGCCCACAGAGTTGCAGGTAGGTAGCCGTCAGATGCGCCTGTGTAAGACCTTCAGAGGCGCCAGTGTGGGGCCCTCAGAGCCGCCGCCGATGCAGGGCCTTAAGAAATATTGGTGTTAGTCCCTCAGATTGGCGGTGTTGGGCCCTCAAAGGCGCCGGTGTGAGACCCTCACAGGCGCCGTTATGGGCCCTCAGAGACACTGGTGTGGAGCCGTTCCATGCGGGTATGGGCCAGGACCCTTATTAGAGCTGACGCTTAATAGGTCAGCAAGGTCACTCAGAGGCCAGCACAGGGCCCTCAGAAGCCGGAGTGGGGCCCTTATGGAGATGTGTGATGTGTGGCGACTCAGGAGCCCGTGACTCCGTGAGGTGCTCTCACGAGTCCTGCGGGTCTTATCTCAGTCGAAATAAGGCACGCTTGGACCCTGAGCGGCCAATTGGCACTGCAGGGCCTCTCGGGCCCATAGGGCACCATGCTTCTAATGAGGCGGCACGCGCCCCTTGTGCCCCCCCCCCCGGTTACGCTGCACTGGCTGCGGCCATACAGGTTAATCATATTCTAACCGTCCCTATTCCCAAGCATAGGCGGCGGCCGATTCCTGGTTTGCGCAATATGAGTGCCATCGTTAGACAATACGGTCAAAAGAATTGAAGCGGCATGACTCCCCTGTGGTAAGAACTAAGAAGCAACATATTTTCAGACAAAATAAAGCAATGACAACTAAATTGAGGTTACTAAAACGACTCTGATCACAAAAGTAGTTACTAGGAAGGCTTTCTAATCCATTTTTATTTAGTTCCTCGTTATAGGCGTAAGAAGTGTAAGTCTGAACGGGGGGGGGGCATACTTGTACTGGATGCCCTCCCCAGGCTCCTGTCGGGGGGGGCATATGCCCCTAATGCCCCCCCCTGGATCCGCCAGTGCATGGGCGAGCACTGCGCGCGCGTCCGGAAGAAGACCAAGCCGAGGATCGCACAGCTCCGTAAGATGACCGGGCGTTCCTGGGGCCTGCGGGAGCCACAGCTGCGAGTAGTAGCCAACGGCTACATCCGCGGCGCCCTGGAATACGCGGCGGCTGCATGGCTCCCTGCAGCGTCCGAGTCCCACGTAGAGCTACTGGAGATGGAGATGCGCGCGGCAGCCCGCGTTATCACCGGGTGCCCCGTGAGCACGCCGAGGGATCCGCTCCTCGCGGAAGCCGGTCTGGTTCCCGTGAGAGCACGCCGGGACCTGCTCGCTGCCAGACTGAGCTGTCTGGCAGCCTCACAAAGAAGCGGCGACCCACTGCGCGCGGTGGCCGAAGCAACGGCCCCACGGCGGCTCCGCACCACCACCGGCTGGCGCGACACGGGGGCGCGCGCCCTGGTGAGCGCGGGCGTGCGAGATGTACTTGTGGAGGAGCGCCTGCACGTCACCATCCCGCCGTGGATCGATGACACCAGGGTCCAGTTCAGACTTGACATCGGCAACCACATCAGCCGCACAGCACCACCCGACGTCCGGCGGGAGAGAGCGGAGGAGCATCTGGCCACCCTCCCAGACGACGCCGTATGGGTGTGGAGCGACGGCTCGGCGGAGGGAGGTGTCTCAGCCGGAGGGAGTGGAGCGCTGATAACCCTCCCCTCAGGCGAGGAACACGAGCTCCGAGCCCCTGCAGGCAAGATATGCAGCAGCACCCGCGCCGAACTGGTGGCGATCCGCGGGGCACTGGAGATGCTGCTGCAGCTGGAGGGCGGCCTGGCGGAGAGCCCGGTCATCGTCTGCGCCGACTCGCAGGCGGCGCTCGCCACACTGGCGAGTGGGGCTGGGAGCCAGGCGACAGCACTCGGCGCCGCCGTATGGCGACTGCTCCTGGCGCTCACGGACGGAGGACGCCGAGTCTTCATGCAGTGGATCCCAGCGCACTGCGGAATACCCGGCAACGAGAGAGCGGACGTGCTGGCTAAAGAGGCATCCAGCCTGTCGCAAGACGCCGTCCCAACGGACGTCCGCTCGATGGTGAAGGCAGTCGGCCGCTCCGCCACCAAGGCATGGCGTCGCAGCTGGCCAGACAGCTTCTTCAAAACCATCATGGGAGACCGGATGCCGATGCCGGTGCTCCTGGAGTCTCGCGACGAGGCGGTCAACGTCCACCAGCTGCGGGCGGGACACTGGAGCCGCTCGCAGAGCTACCTTCACAGAATTGGACGCCGCCCCGAGCGCGACTGCCCACAGTGCAGTGATCTGGCCTGCCCGGCGGCGCGCTGCCTGGTGTGTCGCGAGGGCCCGGACACGCCGGAGCACGTGCTGCTGAGGTGCCCGTGTTTGGCTGGCGCGAGGCTCCGCCTACTCGGCAATATCAGACCGGACCCTACGCAGCTTCGAGACGGCGGGGCCGTGGCGGCCTTGAGCCGCGGCTACCTCAGTCACCAAGAGCCGTTGGGCTACGGTCGGCCGTGAGCCGACCCGGGGAGAACTACAACAACAACAACAGCAACGCGCCCCGTTGGGGGGGGGGGGGCATTTTGGCCCCCCTAAGATCTCGAGAACCACGCAACCTAGCGACAAGCGGCAAACGGTGTTGGATAGCCCTATCAGGGAACTACCTTGTGACCCAATTTTATTGACCTAGGTCAAACCGATGACGTCACAGGTCAGGTCAAAGGTCCAATTTTCACCGTTTACAGGCATTTCAAGAAATGCGTTGTAAAATCGAGTAAAATGCATTTCATTGAAAATCATCGATGGGGAAATGTTCTTCAAACACATATTTTACTATTTGAGGTCACTGATACCAGGTCAGGTCACAGAGGTCAGGTCACGGGGGGGTCACAATATGAAAGTGTCGTGTGATACATGTTTTATGGTCCATTTTACGTGACGAATGCGATTATGTGGGTCAGGCAGCCTTTCGGGCCAGCTTAGGTCACGTTTTGGTCAAGGTCAGGTCAAGGTCAGGTCAAGGTCAGGTCAAGGTCAGGTCAAATTAGGTCAAATTTCAAAGTTAATATTTGTGCATAAAATGGGTATTGAATCGATGCAGCTCGTCACGGGGAGTTCAATGGTGGTCTTTGTTTTGCCGTACGTGGTCTAGAATCGCTAAAAATTGAGTTCAAAAATTTGACGTCATCATTTTTGAACAGTTTTTTCGCTATAACTTGGCCAAAAAACGAGATATCGATCTGAAATTTGGTATGTATATAGAAGAGCGCAGGGACTATCACATATATTCCGTTTTTTTTTAAATTCGGAAAAAATTTGGATTTGTTTTTAGTTTTTCTAAAAAAATCAATTTTTTGAATTTTTGGGGGTCAAAAACCCAAAATTTTGAAAATCCGAGATAGCAGTTTTGTAGCGCCGTTTTTTGTCTACTAGACCATATAAAGAACTTTGAAATTGCTTGATAACTGTAGATTTAGTGAGCGTTTCAAGATTGCATGTTTTTTGCTCATTTTTGCTCGAACATGACCTCAGTTTGACCTCAATAACTCCTGACCTGAGGTGACCTAAGACTTGAAATTTGGTGTGAAGATGTCAAATTGATGCCCGGGAAGGTACTGAAAATTTGGCGGCGCTGCGCGCCGCCGTTTTCTTGCTATTCAGGAAAAACCACAGGGGGGCCAAAATGGCCCCCCCCAACGGGGCGAGGGTTAACAATCGTAATGTGATCTCGATGATTATAGACTGTCTCAAGCTAATCGAAACGTGAGATCCCACATTCTCGGTAAGGCCCCATGCTATTTTCGAGCGGAAAGTTATGAATCAAGGCCATGGGCATGACACAAATGATGGAACTGAATTGTCTATGCTAATTTTTTCATACAATTTTAGACGTAGTTACCTACAAAGCCGGCAAATCGGTTGAAAAACGCCAAATTTTGAGAATGCTTGCCCGAGTAAATCGTAAAATAGGCCCAGGCTAAATCTGGAGACTCTTTTCAAAAAAGACCTTTGAAAGAGCTATCGATTTCGTTTTTCCCCGGCGCGGCATAGCTCTATTGGTTCCCGAGTTATGCACCTATTTGTAAAAATGTCGAACTCGGGAGATGTATGTGATAATTTTACTCTTGGATTCCATGACAAAATATCGAATCGCAAAATATCGAACGCACAGAGGCGGATCCAGCTCAGAGTTTTTTTTTTGGGGGGGGGGGGCAAACCATAACAATTTATCGATTCTTTCCATGCCTCGCCCTAGGCGTAATGTTAAAATTATGCCGTTTGGGAGGGGCAAATGCCCATTTTGCCCCGCTGGATCCGCCACTGCGAACGCAAATTATCGAAAGAGAAATATCGAAGTCGCAAAATACATATCTATGCAAAATACCGAAACCGCAAAATATCGACATCACAAAACATCGAGTCGCATAATATCGAAATTGCAAAATATGGAAATAGTTAAACATGTTATAGCAGAATAGCGAAATAGCAAATTAGGACATGCATAATATCGCAATTGCAAAATATTGATATGGCCAAATATCGAAAGGCAAAATATCGGAAGACAAAATATCGTGTGCAGAATATCGAAAACAAAATATAGAAAGCAGAACATAGAAAAGGCAAAATATCGAATGCATAATATCGAGAGAAAAATATCGAAAGCAGAATGTCGAAAGCATACCTACTCGTAATAACGAAAAGACAAAAGTAGGTATCGAATGAGGAATATCGAACAGACAAAATATCGAAAAAGCAAAATAACAGAAAGACGAGAGCATAGGCAGGACCAGGGTCTTCTCGATATCATACCTTCAATATTATGCGATTCGATATTTTGCATTTCGATATTTTGTCCGGAACTCGTCCAGAATCCAGTATCCATCGTCCGGCTCTGCCGGATCTCTCAGCTGTTTCAATTTGTCGACACGCAGCGGCGCTAGTAAGCCTTGGGTAGAGGGCGCTGTCAACGGCAGGGTCCCGGAGAAGACTCCTGAGCTGCGCTCGGAGCCGTTTCCCGCATTACGCAAGAACTGGTAAGGCCAGGGTGATAAATCGTGTTCAATGTATTCGTAATGAACCGCTCTATGATAACATAAATTGTTCTACAAAGATCTCTAGGCTGTACACATTTGTTACGTGGGCCGGGTGGCATCATAACTCACCTAACTCGTAGCCCTCAGTGCCAAAATTGTACGTACCTACTCCTATGGTTCCATTCCAGTAGGAGTAACAACATGATTTTAGGCATGCATGATAATCCATGCAATGGAGGGCCAAGTTTTCAAGTCAACCAACCAACGCTTTTCCAGTCAAGTGATTGGAGGACAGTCTATTGATTATAATTAACTAGCATGGACAATATCAAACGAGATTGGTTGATAGACGGTGCACTCCTGTCTTCCTCTATTTATGACCCTATCGGATGAAGACTTTCCAGTTTTCGGCATCGAAAACGCAAGTTTTCCGACGATTTGAAGCTCACTTTGGAGACCTCAGATAAATAGCTCGTAAAGATGTCATAAACATGTTAGCCTGCATTGAACACGTCTTTCGGGTTCAGCTAATCCCATTTGGAGGCCGTTTTCATTGGCTGTATCTTTCTTCATTTCTCCCTCGTTTCCCTGACTGCCACTGGGGACTCTCCCCTCAGCATCTTCCCTCGGCAGCCATTAGTTTCATCAAGGCTACTTTATCGCCTGGCTCCCCGGGATCGACTTCCGACAACTGGCCGGTGGGTTAGATTGTTGCCGCCATAGCCGCGGAGACGAGAGCGCGAGAAGTGGCCACGCAGAAATGGTACCTACCTTCTATCCAATGTTCGTTGACTGTGTTTTACTTCCATGCAAGAATATGGGTGGCAATAAATGTAATTTCAGTTTTATGCACCTAAACTATGCCGAATTTAGATAAATTTTAGCTTAGTAACAAGCCGATGATGCCTGAATTTTATCATACATCTGTGCAATAATGTCGATTTCATCACATTATTTATCATTTACCATTACATTATGCATATAACTATGCACATTACACATTCCCTTTTTCGTCGATTTAGATTCATTACCATTGATCATATGCTTGTGCCCTACGCTGCCCTTCTATTCAGCACACAATTACGCTGGAACAAGTCATAAAATGTTTTTTATAATTCTGCATTTCAGAACCTTCTCAGCTCTCGCTCCCACTCTTATCCCGAAATTCTTGATTGTGAGGTGACTAGCTGGAAAATAAGCACACCTTTATCATCAGTGTCTGATCCCACACCTGGCACAAACACAACCATCTCATCTGCCACCCACCCAAACAACACCCTCCCTTCAGCACATTTTTACAAAAACTGCCCTCACCTCAACAGAGCCCATCTGACCGCTGTCTTATCGCAGGAGCTTCCACAGCTCATTGGAGGCGGCTGTCGCGGCTAGCGACAACATCAGCGTCAGCGCAGCTACAAATGTGGCGCATCAGAGGCTGATGATGTGACATCGGCGGTATCGGGTATACCATCAGCGGCAACGGCTGATCGGGACCAGCGCGGGGTAAATCAGAGGGACGATTTCTGTAAATGACTGATACACACAGAGCAGACAGAGTCAGATGAGCTCTGTTCACGCTCTGATGACGGGAACGAAGCGGGAGCGAGGGTGAGCTGCATATAAGCAAGCTGTGTGGTACATACGTGTTTAGAATGAGGCCTTTATCGAAGGTTTACAACGCACTTACCTTATTATGTTAATTCTAATTGCATATATTCAAGCATATTTTAGAACTCTGCATATTTTTAGATAAATTCATCACGCCATTTCTTTTCGCTTGTCAAAGACTGGTTAAGAATAAATACCAACTCAGATACTGAATTTTATGCGAGAGCGGTGATTGTTTGTGCGTGTGTTCGGCTCAGTAGTCAGTTGTTGCTTCGCTTGAGGGAACACAAGTCGCAGAGCACGCATAAAAGAAAACGAGTTCTCGCCAAACAGAAAGCAGAAAGCTTGGCATCTGAAACGGATTGGTGTTTTCCTCTGGCGCTGGCATCCCAATGGGGTCGTCTGCACGTATCTCGGCTACCCGGGGAGCGCAGACGGGGGAAGTGGAGGGGAGGGGAGGGGAGGGTGAGGGGCAGCAAAAAGGACCGACGTCTCAGAGCCGGGGCCAGTGCGCAGCTGTGTCCGACGTCGAGAGATTTAGTCCGGATTCAGATCAACTCATACGAGTTTACCCTGTTTGGTAGTCTGATTTCAGAGCAGAGTTTGGTAGGCACCGAAAAATGAGCCATAGACGCTGGGGCTTATAGCAATGAAAAGAAGACAGAGCCAATGTTGCTGCTTTGTTTATCAACGTATAGCCTTCTGAAGTGGATACCTTCCCACCTATCTACAAAATATTTGAAGTTGAAGCAAAGGGTATAAGGTATTTTTCTCGCAGTGATTATTATCATTTTCTTGAGACAAAGCATCGATTCAAAGGATCCTAGGCATTTGATGTATATTCAAACGCTGCATGTTCTTAATCGTTTTAGCATG